TATATAATAAACTTTTTTTTTTATTATTATAAAGTTATTATATTATTATAATAATAAAACAAGAATAACAATAATAATAATATTATTATAAGAAAAAGAAACACAACAACAAATATAACAACAACAAAAGCAGCAGCTGCTGCTGCAGCTGCTGCTGCATCTGCTGCTGCATCTGCTGCTGCATCTGCTGCTGCAGCTGCTGCTGCATCTGCTGCTGCATCTGCTGCTGCATCTGCTGCTGCCTCCACCAGAACAATACATAACGAAGAACACCGAGGGTTTAGGGTTTAGGGTTTAGGGTTTAGGCAGCAGGGGCCTCCCCCCCATACAGCAGCCTCACCAGAGTATATCTACGGTGTCTTTGGGGGCCCCCTCTCCCTCTGTCTTTTCTTCTTTCTCCTCTAAATCACCAGGGGCCCCCTTCAGCTCTCGGTGTATAATACCTTGCCCCTCTGGGACCTCTGGGGGCCCCTGGGGGCCCCCCATAGGGCCCCCTTGCATGCGTTCTTGGGGGGCCCCCTGCTGCTGCTCTTCTTGGGGGCCCCCCCCCTCAGTACCTTCCTGCGGGGGCCCCTGATGCCTTTCCTGCGAATCCGCATGGGGGCCCCCATGTACTTCCTGGGTATCCCCCCGCTCCGAACCTTCCTGGGTCCCCTGGGGGGCCCCCTGGGGGCCCCCCTGGGGGCCCCCCTCTGGGGCCCCCTGGGGCCCCCCCGGACTGGGGGGGCTGGTTGGTGGGTACGGGTGCGCGTTTCTCCTGTACTTCCACTCCGCGCAGAGCCTGTCCCAGTGAAAGAAGAAGTTGTCGTGGTGAAGGGCCCAGCGCCTGGCAGCAGTTCTTATGTAAGAGAGAAGCTCAAAGGTTTTTAGCTCTGCATGCAGAGTATCTTTGTTTGGTGGGGGGTATACACAGTTTGTATAGTAGTTGTTGTTTACGTTGTATATATTGTTTATTGTGCTCTGATATATAGACTTATTATACTCCTTTTCTTCGTTGTTTATACTCTTTGTATTCTCCTGCTGCTGCTGCTGCTGCTGCTGCTGCTGCGGAGACACCTCAGCAGCAGCTACAAAACTATCATCGCTTTCGCTANCTGCTGCTGCTGCTGCTGCTGCTGCGGAGACACCTCAGCAGCAGCTACAAAACTATCATCGCTTTCGCTAGAGAGAGAGCCCCCGCTGCTGGCAGAGGTACTGAGGAGAACAGAGGGGAGAAGGGGGGCCCCCGTCAGGTGTTCAAACTGAATCTTAAATGTATCTTCTTGGTCTTCTGGGGGCCCCCGGGGCCCCTCTTCATCCTTGTTGCGGCTCCAGGGGGCCCCTAGAGCAGCTGGCAGTGCAGCAGAGAGGAGGAGGTCCTCCTCATCTGCTTCTCGCAAGGTAGCTGCTGCTGCTGCTGCTGCTGCAGCATACACATCAAACACACACACAGAAATACGCATGCATGCAGCTTTCACTGAAAAGAGGAAGCAGCCGATGCTGCTCAGCTGCAGCGCGAGCCAGCGACGCAGCAGAAGAAACACACGAGACAGATATATGCACGCTTACGGGGTTTAGATGAGACCAATGGAGATACAGGGGCCTCCTTAATCTGCTGGTCTGGGGGAGAAGGTGAGGCGCTGCAGCAGTAAGGGGCCTCTTGCTGCTGGGCGGGGGCCTCAGCCTCTCCGCAGCAACAGCAGCGGGCCCCCGTAGAAAGGCAGCTACAGTTCATAACTGAGATGCTGCATGGATGCTTGTTGCTTCTTGGTGAAACAGAAACAGCAGAAGAAGATATATGCTGATGCATCCTTACACTGAAACCCTACACAGGCCTCCGCCTGCACCCAGGCAGGACCAGTCCAGAGCCGCCCGCCCGCGCTTGTGGCCGCGCCGCAGCTGTACAGATATTAAATAAAGAAGAAATACTTTTATTTTTGCATATCAAAAGGATCTAGCATGTACAGATGAAGATACGCAGCTCAAAAAACACGAAATCTTCATAGGAAGGATGGACATTAACTAAGAAACCGCCAGGGGTTGCTGCTGCTGCCTTGNAAACACGAAATCTTCATAGGAAGGATGGACATTAACTAAGAAACCGCCAGGGGTTGCTGCTGCTGCCTTGCCTTGTGCTTGAGCCCCACGCCTCGTATGCGGTATTCAGTATGCTTCAGTGGGCACAGCAGCAACATCAGCAGATTAAATAAAAGAATTTGTTCATAAAAAAACATTCTTTATGTTATCTTTCTTCTTTTTATGCATTTACTCCATCAATACTCCATGAAAAACCAAACCACCGGACTGCACTGCTCGCCGCGCATCACCACTCGTTTCGACTTGAACATGAATTTAATAAAAACAGAAACCAAGTATTTGCACTGAAAATTATTTTTATATTTTACACTTAATTACGATAAATATTGCCTAATGTGTGCAGCAGACTGCTGCGTCAGAGCTCCGCACTTCGCCTGTATAGTAACCTCAATTCAGCTTTCTCGTTAGGTTTCATAAGCTTTCTGAAAGGTTTCTTCACCTCTGCAGAGGAGCTGCCTATACACCTGAAACTCTTTGTTCATGGATCACAGCTTTTCAGCTTTCTGTTGCTAGAGAAAGCGCTAGCGGTGAAGTTGAATGTCACCGCAGCTGTTGTACTGGTGCAGCATCTCTCTCTCCAGCTGTTTCCTGTGCGTCTATATGCATAAATGTAGAAAAAATAAAGTTAAATCAGGGCTATAGAAATGTATTAAACTACTTTACTAGTTTTTGCTTCGGTTCCTCTTGCAGTCGATTCATAGAAACAGAAACTGCATCGCCTGCTGCAACCTGTGGCGGGTTGTACTCTATACTGATGAACTTCATGGTTTTGTGTGGTTTCTTCAAGGATTCCTGAATACTTTAAACGTTTCTAGCAGTTTTTTATTTATTTTTCCGGTTTTTATTCGTTATAGATCTCTTTGGGTAACGAGTAAGAACGAAGATCCTTGTACAGGCGACAGACCTTCACCCTAGACCTAGATAGGTTTCTATATAGCAATTACTCGCGAATGTATAAAATAAAAACATGTATATAGAATAAAAACAAAAAACTTTTGTTTTTCTTCCTTAAATAAACTACTCTTCTATAAGAATGTCTATTGATCAGGGTCCTCCCTCCTGCGGGGTGATGAATGTTTGGGTTTTCGTTGCTCTATGGCTCATACAAACAAAAAAGTTTATTACCCTACAAATATAAAATAAATTTCTCTCTAATGATGTAGTGATAGGATTCTTTTTTTTCTTTTGGGGTGTAAGCTCATCAACCACCTATATACACAAAAAGTTGCAATAGGAGGGCGCTAACACCACAGCAATACAAGCAGAAAGCTTTCACTTTTTCATAGAAAACTCGAAACTATAGAAAGATACTGAGATGTTTACGGTGTAGTTTTATCCCCATATAATAATAAAGAAAATATTTTATAGAGAAATTAAAAAAATTAAAAAAGGAAAGCTGTCGATAGAGTGCTGCATCGATCAGTTATTCACTCCTTTGTAAACAGAAATCCACAAAAGAGTGGTGCACTCATAGCTCATACATATATATATAAAAAAAGAATATATATATATATATATATATATATATATATTAATATTATAATATTAATAAATATTATAATATTAATAATGTATATTAATGGCCCCTTTAGCATGAAAGCTTCATCGCTGCGCTGAGCTCCATCCCCGCAAAGGAAAAAATAAAAAGAGAAAAGAAAACAGGAGAAAGCCGATGGTCTCTAGTTAGTGATGCATCATGATGCACCCCATCACTCTATTGCTGGTTGCTTGGGGGTCTCGTGTTTATATCTTTTCAGATATAACACCCCATCACTCTGCTGCT